ATGAGATGACCGTAGAGATGACCGAGTACATAGTTGGTGACAAAACGACTTGTAGTGGATTCCTAATGTATTAACTCAGTTTTCCAACCTTTCAGAAAAGCTCTGTAACAATTTGCCGACCATTGGGTACAAGATCGAAGCAAAAACTGTGCGTTTTGAAGGGCAACTGTAACCAATAGGCCGCAGGTTCCGAAGCCAACAGTACTGCTGCAGAAAAGTTTAATAACGCTTTCTCAATAGAGCCCAATGTCTTCTTACCATTTCAGTAGTGCTATCTCTTTTTAGAGGACTGAATTTCTTTTTACCTCTTCCGATCAGTTGTTTGGGCGTTGGAAAACTATTATTGTTATGACAGAAGAGAAGAAAACGATATGGAGAAAAAAATTGAGATGTTGGAATGAAGCACACTACCGCGGAATAGGTGACTGTTACTATTAGCCTGTTGGAGACGGAAAAACTTATGACATAGGAAAATGGAATTACTAGAGGTGGCACAATTATGCTTAAGTCTGCAAGGACTGTAATTTCCAAACTAGTTACTCATCTGGTAGCAACATAATCTTGAAAAATCTCAATAGAACCTATTTGGAAAAAGGTATTACCTAGTGCTATCAATTCTAGAATGCAATAAAAATAGGCTTAATGTCATTTCTAGACAAAGATAAAATTAATAGCAGGAAAGCCTTGAAGGAAACCATGGGACCTTTATAATGTATGCTGTTTAAAAACCTCGCGATTGCTGAACAAGAAAACGACGCATTCACATACCAATCCCGAGGTTAATAGAAAGTCGATCCTGAAAACCTTTTTTCTACTTACATCCACGGTGTTCGACGAATACAGAAGAGAGATTAAAGAAGAGACTTGATAAAACATGGTAAGCAGTGTGAACTACTTTCTGGATTCTCAAAGACTTTTTAGTCGACTGATCCACTTCTCCGTGACAATTCGTGGTCACACCTTGCAGCACAATGTCTTGCTAGGTTTCGTCAATAAAATGACAGCAGCCTTTATAACGTAACAGAATCTATGTCCATCCGAAAATGTCGGTGAAATGGCCATTTTGCTAGAGAAACTCATAAATGATAGATGGAAAAATACAGAATATATTACATGCAATTGCAAGCGTCCACGAAGGAAATGAAACCAAATGTGTCGATCACCTAGTCCAACTGGGTCTTTCAGCTAAATTTCAATCGCTTCAACACGTGCACGCAAAACAGTTCGTCTTCGGAGATTACCAGCATAAAAAGTATCGTTTTCTTAGTGGTTGATACGACCTATGAAAAGCAACTTCTGATCAGCACCACCATAGCGAAACATTGATGTTCGTACAATAAGAAGAGCGGGTGATAGGTGGGCGAAAGAACTGTCTAGTGGACTTTAAGAAAATGCAGGCATCGGCTCAGACGACCACTTACACAATAAGCTGATAATGCTGCCCACGTCAACCATTTGCATTCTTGAAGTGAAACGATATCTGGATCACGGAACAAGCTTGCTGGACATCTCTGTATTCGCAGAAGGCCATCAGCATACGCGACGATTGCGCGAGAAAGAAACAAACAGTAAATATGCTTGAGTCCATGCTATTTCTGAAGACGAACTATACAAGTAACCGGCTAAGTAAAAAATTTCTGCAAGTTCACCCTAATCGGAGATTAATTCTTGTTAGAAGATTACGCGTGTTGACGATTACGATGTTCTATCCTTTCACCCAAACTGTGTGACTACGAAACTTTCGAGAATATTCCTGCGATTGAGTTCAAGATGGGAGTACTTGGCGGGGACGATAGCACGAAAAATTACAAAGGTTCTGCATCTTGTTTAGCACCTAAACTACTAATATTAGAAGAAACAAATTGTGCATCATACCTTTCGCATCAAGGTCATTAGCCCTCACATGGACTTTAATCGTTTTCCCAGCCTCCACCATCTGGGGAAAAATTTTTTCAGAGTCATTCACAAAAATCTCGATGTTATGATTAGCAGAAGCGAGCTGAAGGTGTGGATCGGTTCCACTACCTGAATAATGTTTGAAGATCGTCATGAATAGAATCTCATGCACTTATTTACTAGAATAAACTGCTGAGAGAAACACCTTTTGAGTATAGTTCCTAATCATTTATTACAACCTTACTTTGTTACTTCAATGAATAGTTATCCCACCCACCTTCAATAGATCGACCTGTTTGCGAAACGTTTACGCTACGACTTGGCTCATCGAACAACCCACTCTAAAATTCGCTTTTCGAATTTCAAAAGTGTTACCAATAGTTCGATTAAATTCACTACACTGAAGGAAAGCGCAGAAAGCAAAACTTTGGAAAACGATGACTTGATCAGGTAAGTTTTCTATCGTCAGATGTGATCTTCGGGAAAAGAGAATAAAATGATGCATGAAGAGATCTACCACCTAATGAATAGCGCATAAAGAGCTGAAACGAAGCCCTTTCGGGCACTCCCAAATAGACTGCCATCTCATCGGAGGTGTGGGTACTGCTGTGTGTTCAACCGTGACGTTCAGCTTCATGTTCTTCCATGTTGAGAAGTAGTCCGACATCTTCATTCTGAAATTCAGCTAGGAAAGAGTCTATGCCATGGCAGAGCTCCTCGAGCAGTATTGTAACATGTCCTTGCCAGAAATGACAAAGGTGCAAAACATCACAATAAGAATGCTGAACTCGTATTTGACGGATGATCATAACACAATTCTGTGTTGTGTCATAGAGAGGAATCCTGCCAATACTTCTTCGGATTATCAAGCTAACATGGGGGTTGATAAAAAAGTTATCCGTCTTAAGTTTCGACGTCTTTATCTTCTCCAGAGCCGGAATGGTTCGATTTCATGATCGACTTGGTCGCCGTCGCGATGTTGTTGGTCGTCGTCGCACCGAGTCGAATCGTCTGTAGTGGAGAACCCATTGAACGAAGAATCTCACTCGACGGTGCCATCCTATACAGCACGGATGTTTATCTACTGCCACTACCTCATATCACCGCCAAAAAAAGTTTATTAACGAAATAAGATATATAGTTCACCGATAATCCACGCTAGTTAGTTAAGCATATCTCACCATGTGCAGGTGTATGGGCATTCTATAAAAGACTTATTATTTTATTTATGAGCATGACCCGTCATCACATCCTCTGTGCGGATCCCAGCACTTTTTGCATTCGACTTGTTTCCTCGCATTCATCGTTCGCAATTCTCTTCGAACACTTCGCGTGTTTCGGTTACTTTTTGAGGAATTCGTCTTTTTAATAAATGTCATACGATGCTGATAAAGTCAGTGAGGAGGGGTGGAACCAACGCCTTGCTTGCTGATGGACTGCATCACTAACTACGTCAGTATCTTCCCACTCTACAAGTGGCGAACACATTCCCAAAATGGTAAAGCATTGAAAAAAAAACACCTACTCCTGGAAATACATCATCTTCCGAGAAATCGTTTGCGATCGCCGGATCGTCAATTGGTGACACTTGATTGAAGGTGTTGGACAGTTGTAAAAATGGATCTTCGATTTCTGTAGGAAGGGACAAAGAGCTATGTAACGGCATAGTCTTCCGTCTCTGCAAACAAACCTTTTAGGGTTAGAGTACTTCCAACACTGAAGATGATCTTCTCTATCTGGCAGCAGGCATTCGTTTGACGGCTACATGCAAAAGCTGCTAGATCACCATATGGTTGTTTTTGGTAAAAGTGTACTTTCAACTTGAAAAAGTCTCGCATAAAAATCTGCCATACCATAAAAACTGCACTTGAGGATTATCAATGGCGATCGAGAAAGAATAATCAACCGTCCTGAGGTAATTTTTCTCCATTTACAAGTTTTTTGGGCTTCATGAGGAGTGATTTTTTTTTGAAAAACACAATTTTTATTGGACAAAAAATCACGCTCTCTCTGATTCTTCGACAATCTTCAAAAATTTCTCGATAACTAAAACACTTAAGGGATTGAAAAATGACAAGGTTTAGTAAAGAAACTCGGTTTCGTCACTCTGAAAACATATGCAATTTTTCCAAACTACTACGATCTTCATTTCGAAAATCCTTAAAGCTTTAACAGAAGTAAAAATAAAATTTCACTTTGAAAATTTTTAGCACCTGTGGAATAGACGCAACACAGAGAAGCATTTGCGGACAACGCTGTGTGCTTTCAACGATATACTATGAGGTGTACGCGCTTTGCATGAGAAAAGAGAAGATAAAAAGGCTTTTTCTAGGTTTTACAAGATCAAAAATTCGTCCTAGCACAACTGGAAAACTTCTAGTTGCAAAGGACCTATAGCTTCTAATCACTTTTAAGCTTGTTCGGAAACTAATGCGAGATTGGTAATTTTATTTTCCTCGTAAAAGTTCTAAGAACGCTTCATTTCTTTCCGACAGTCCTGCTATTGATACATGAATGCAGGGCTTATTGTTTCCGCTTGTTTCCGCTCTATAAAACTGAATTATAACAAAACTGCACTTTTTCGTTGGTTAGAAGTTGAGATGTCAGAGGAGTAATTGGCACAAACCTACTTTTTCGAGCTAAAACTCGGAAATAAACATCGTAAGCGGATCGAGACATCAACGGGGTGACATCAATGGGGTGTACCTTCTCTACGGCAACGCCGACGGCACGAGACTCTGCTTCATCTACCACACCAGCCAGTCATCTCACCTACTTATTTCTACTGTTTACAGTTTCGACAAACTTCTGTATGAGAACTGTTTCAGAGACAAAGCCGAGGCTGAAACTGCCTGAAATAACTTCATCTGTTCGAAAAGGCCAGAATTTTAAGCAACTGGTATAAACTTGTTCCTCATTTGCGAAAGTGCATAGAATCTGATGGTTTTTGTCTCGAGAAATCAAATTTAACTAAACTGAGACAAGTCCCTTTAAAGGTAGAGGTTTCTGCGGCAAATATAATACCGACTACTGCAGGATGGATCATCCGTTAGAAAACAAATTGCTATCAACGGACGATCGTTATCAACAACTAGCATGCTGTGTTAAAAACCGCTGCTATTTGAGGTTGCCTCATTCGAGTGACGCTCCACTGAAGAAGATCCGTTTCGATACGAGGATCAAGTCGCCATATCGAGAGGCCGAACGACTGTGGACCATAGAACCAGATTATCCGCTATGAGGAAGACGAAGCGTCGAAGCATTAGCCGAATAAGCCTGTGAACCTCGCGTTATCTTAATAATCCAGGAGGATAGTGATTGTTAATGCCGGGTTAAGTGATGGTTATTTCGAAAAACAAAGATTTAAATCCTGCCTTAATTTCCGAACAATCTAGTAGTTTCGAATAAATTTAAAGTTGAAAGTTCAATTGGGTAAACGTACATCCTTATCGGCGTACATGCGTTTGATTTCCTTGTCAAGTTCTGGATCTATCCGATAGCTGTCGGGAGCGCCATCGCGAGCAGTTAGAAATGAGCACTGATGAGGAAGAAAACTACCAAGAAACGAAGCTAGATGACTAGTGGATGGAAAAGCAGCTACATTCTCGCTGTTTACGGAAAATGGACGAACTAGCATCTCCTGAAAGACAATCACAGAGAGTTAAAAAAGTTGGATTATACTAAAACTGACCAACAGCAAAGAACCAGCAGTGCCTTCACACAGCATATTGTACTTGGTACGAGTGCATCCCATAAGGCATTGACCAATCCTGAAGAGTAACAAATTTCAATCAAATGCTCCTATAAAATTTCAATCAAATGCTACTATAAAAAAAATATCTAGTTGCATATATGTAATAGCTGTTAGTTTCTTTCCCTTAAAGACTAATAAAGTTCGCCACATAAACCATCTCTACATGACGTTTGTTACAGTAGTAATGGGTTATTTACATTCCAGTTCATGTGATACAAATTTGAAATTTGACTTCATCGGAAAAGAGTGTGCACTATAACACAGTGCTTTTCTAACCCACACCACATCATATTTTGTGCAGATTCCAGGACTTCCTTCACTCATTTCTTCTTCTATTTGCGTTCCTTGAAGGTCTTTGAATTTTCGTGGAATCACTGTTGCAGTTTTCTTGGTCTCTTTTATGAGTGTTATTGAATACTCATTGAATCATTTCTTTCCTGAGTCTTGGGATAGCCATGTTAGGACGTTCCTAGGTCGTGTGGAGAAAGGGGACCTTACTCTAGACAAGCCTCGACCAATTTTTCGACCCATGATGGATAGGAGGCCTTTTGGCAGGGTGTGGAGTCGAACCATATCTTGTGCGTTTGAGCGACATCAGTACCATTGCGGTATTCACAGATCTTCCTCGCTGGGTTTTCCGGCCGCGTTGTGGTGAAACAAGATGGAGCGTATCAGTAGAGCGAAAAGCTAACAGATGGCGAAAAACGGGCCAAGAGCGACACCGTATCTACTTTCAGATAGGTGCAAGCTCAAGAGAAGTCCTCATTGCAGCTGCTATAACAAACAGACATAACTGCCAATGTGTGTGCATATGGTCATGAGTGGATGTGCTTGCTACACGAAGGCTGCATACTGCACGCTAATTCGGTAGCTAGCCTGAAATCATATTACTGGAGAACAAAAGAGAAATTGCTCAGAGTCCTCTCCAAAAAATCATCTCTATATTGAATTTCCAAACGCTTATCGCTATCCATAAATATGAACTATCTCCACGGTAGAGCCACATGAGCTATGGTGGATACTTTCGCCAAAAACAATATAAACAAACTTCTTGGCTCCTCCAACTTTCACTGAGCTACGGCAACGATACTGATGACGTAGGTTAAGAAGTCCAAGAAAGACTTAAGTGAATTCAACGAAATGAGAAAACCGTCCATTAATTAAATGTCGCCCGCCCCCAGAAGAACAGCTATCTAAAACATGCCCACACAGGCGAAAGGAACTGTACTACTTTCTGAAAAATCTGATGCTACACGAATTGGCTGAGTTCATAACTTTAAGTGAACTCAATTACGAACAGAGATTAATTTGAACAGCTAACGACCCAAATAAGTCATGTGCGAATGATGTGGTAGAGATCAAGGCTTAATTCAGCAATCTTCGTTTGGACAAGGTTTACATAGGTAATCATGGAATATTCTTCTAAATGGCCATCCTCAGTGACAACGACGAGTTGTAGACGCACGAATACATGAGTCCAGCTCCGCTTTATTGTCTTTTCCTTTTACAGAATTACAAACAAAGGCGTTTATTAAGGAAGATGGTACGTAGCGTATTTTTGAAGTTAGGATGATCAACGAACCACATGCGTTGAGTTCAATGGATGCGCATGCGTCGGAAAGTGGGTTTGCGTGACACATTGTGCAAAAATAGGTCCATATCATTAAGCGACTTCTGCAAAATTCAAAAAACCCGCTTGCGTAGTTTCTCATAGGTAGTCTATGGAAGGAGATTAATCCTACCTGAGTAATCTAACAGTAGCTATTAGAAAATGGCATCTCAACGCCTTTCCAGGAGCATATTTTTATCGACCAAAAAGGTGTGGGAAGGATGTACGCAATCCAGTCACAGTGGAGAGCAACGGCTATCAAAACAAAAAGATTAACAATAAGTCACCCTTACAAAGATTACATTTCGAAGTTAATATTTTTGTAGTTTGATCCAATATGTTGCCCGTGTTGTCAATGTTGCCTGAACAACCCAAAGTCGCCCCTATTAAGGATGGAGAAAAAGAAGTTAAGTAGGGCCACTATATCACCCGTAGCTCTGTTACAGCAATATCCTTAAGAATGAACTCCTCGCTAGTTCAGTGGTACCAAAATTGGTCGATATTCACATAAATTCGAAGCATGGATTCCTCATGACAAGGAAAAAATGAAGCAATTAACTCGCAAATTTCACAAACTCACTTGCAACCTTGGCTAAAGAAAAATCGACTCATGTGCGGTTCGATAATCCGGCGCATGTTCACATTTTTGCTTACGAGTGGATGCTCCAGTTGGTTCATCACGGTATCCTTAACGGCAATACCAGTTGCTAAGGTCTCAGGTTGGCACTGTAGATCGCAGTCTACAACGGTCCTTCAGCTGTACAACGGAAATTAGAAAGTGCCTTTTAGCCTCTCTTCATGTGAAATATTAGGTATTCCATATTGGTACTGGCAGAAAATAGAAATTGTCTACTGTGGAACATTTAGACTACGCCAAAACGTCGATATGTGGTAAAGTTAATTCGTTTAAAACACTTCATTTCACTCACCATTCCTCACACGACCACTGTTGCTGTCTATGCAGTCAGAAAGAGCGATGAATGCTGAAGAAGAAAAGAGCGTCATCATGAAGCTAATGACACCGCAAAAAAACATAATGATCTTGGAATCAAAATGCTTAACTTCTATTTGCAGCCTAAACCTTTCTCATCGCAGACTACTATGTAGAATGCAACCGTAAGGATTCTGAGATATAATCAAGACTTGAGACCTCAGTTAGGCTTTAAACCCCCACTAGTCTTTCCATGGGACCACTTTCTATCCACCACACCAACCCAGGCCCTTGCTTTGCCTTTCTGCCAACCTGTAATCTGCATGACGGTGCTGTCAGTAATCACTCCCAATGACCTCGATAAACAACCCTAAGCGCTTCAGAAGCCAAATCGAATGAAGAACAAGCGCTCACTTTCCTTAATTTACAAGGAGAATCTACAAATACGTTTTCAATATGAGGCCGTGATGAAAGTAGACATTAAATACTGGGACAGAACTTAATATTCCCTGCAGAGAAAAAACTGTATGCCTTCGAAGGTGCTCATCATTACCTGGAACGCTTCGTAGTTGATTTTGTCAATACAACACAGTCAATGACGTTAGAATGTGAACTAACCATCTTTCTGTTTTCTGCACATGTACTGTAGTCCACTGGTCAGTGACTCAAATATGAGATCTGCGCCGCAATGTGTATTGTGTCGCATGCATGCGATTGCCTCGTCGTAAGAACTGCCAAAAGCAATTAGTTCTTAATTTTACTGACCTTTCGTTGTCATAGAAAAGTGAAAAAAAAGATTTCAAGTTAATAGCGACTAAGCAGATCCTTTCCTGTTTAAAGAACAACCAATTATTTGAAGAAAAACGGCTGTTTTTTTTAATCTTGTTGCAATAAGGGTCAAGATAAATCTTTTGACGTTGGTAAATTACTGAGCCATTCATTCGACTTTATCAGGCGTCGTAGAGGTGATTGAATTCACATCCGGCTCGTGATGACCTACAGACATATGAACTCAGTGCTAACATCCTCTAAGACAAGCTCGGTACAAATCTGACAACACGTGAGGAATTGAAAAAACGTTGAGTCCTCGGTTAGATCGAACCAAAAACCAAATATGTATTGCAGACTACACCTAACGAGTGCGCTACACTCGCCGCGGTAGGGAAGAACCATCTCGAATTTTTCACAAGCTGTTAGAGATGCCGACGAAAGCATGAAGACGACCACAGCTCCAGAACCGGATAACATCGTTTTTATCGAAGCCGTGGTTTACATGCAATTCATGTGTAATGGAAAAGAAAAGGATGATAGAACTGATAACCAGAATATGAAGAAGCCACTCTGCTGCTGAGTCAAACAAGTAGACCTGAGTGGTTTTCTAGCAGAAAAAAAATCACATCATTAACACGCCGTGCAATGAGCTTGGAGAAGGACGTGAAGAAGCATTTATGCATCATGCTCACTTTTCGGACCTCTTAGAAAAGTACACGATTAGCGAACGGACACCTGCCACTGGGCTACTAATCATTTTAGCTTAATGGTAGGCCCAGCTCTTTGCTATTCGGCTGAGACGTGGATTAACACTTTAAGGACGTCGAAAATTATGTGTGCAATTTCTGAAGTTCTACATTATCGGTAGAAACAACATAAGCCGGTTTGGACATTTAAGCTCTTAAAATCTAGCACAACATTGGTCAAATAAAAGAGCCATAAAAAGGCTGGCCAAGTAATGTGAGGAATTTGCAAAAGATAGACTAGAGGAACGGTAAGGGTGTATCCTCTAGAATACTAATAATCAGTATCTTAGAGTCGAGCCCCAAGTCTGCTACTGAACAGTCCGAAACGCTTTGTGGATCAATGATCTATTCTTGTCGACGTCGCCATACACCATTGCTATGTGAGAATACAGGGCGAGAAAGAAATGGACGGAAAATGCGCTGAGATCCACACTACTCGTATGGGGATCCCATCTAAGTATCCAAGTAAGTAATCCATAAATTTATCACAGAGTTATAGAAGTGAAACCACTTTATGTCTGCCCCTTGGTCTTGACATCCTCTCTGCTTCATTTTTAAGCATGACAGAAATTGAATATCTTTAAATTTGTTTATAATGGAAATAAAGTTTTAGGAAAGAATGGCTACTCACTCACACGCCCAACGCATGTTTTCCTTAAAACTTCCCGATCGGAAATAAACCGAAAACACTCTCATTACAGACGATAGACACACCGTCTGACAGGATGGCAGCTCAGTAGCTGAACGAATTACCTTGGATTTCAAAACTTTTTCCGTAAAACAGAGATCAGAATGAAGAACAAGGCATAAAAACAAACAAAAATTTGGAGCTGACCAGAGATAAAATTTTATTATGAAGAGCTTTATGAAACATTCGGTTCTGCTTCACAGCTGTGTTGGAGATACTAACAATACTGTGCTAAAAGTGTAGGTGAGGCATCGCCTTTAAGTTCAAAATTTAGCAAAGGTTTTACAAGAATATCATTACTGATTTGAAGCATTTTCCCCCGATGGTTGAATGTCTCATCGTGAAGTGGCATGTTCTTAGGCATCAAATCGTGATGTTGAGTGGACGGCACATCGGGTATCCGGGGTTCGCAAATCGCGATTGAGTTCGACTTTTCACTCCAGCTAAAAGTAAACCTACGCCTCTACAAACATCGGCGAGTTTCTCGCGGTTACTTCCTCACCTACGAGTGTAAGGGAAACGTGGAAGTGAACCGTCTTTACGACGTCTAGACATAGACGTCTTTTAAACACCTGTGGTGCTTTGTGAGTACAAATAGGAGTGTGCTAATATCTCCTAGAGCTAGTTGATGATTAATGTCGTCACACATAAGGGTACTTAAATCAGCAAAATAGATATCGCTTTTAGATAAAATGAAATCGAAAAGGCTGGTCAGCCAGGTGTGACAATCCTAACAACGAAACTACAGCAAGATGTAAGAGATCAAGAGGAATTCACAAGTTGGAATATGAAGCAAAACTATATACCGAATTCCGATCCATGCGACCC